CCGACGACTTTTTGAATATATTACGCTGTAATTCTTCCCATAGAGTTTGAGAAGTAAGATAGTTGATTAACTCTTTGAGATAATATCTCACGTTTTACTTTTACCATAAAGGTTTTATGTTCTAGCATAAAGGCTTGATAGAATCTCTAAATTTATCTAAGACAGAAGACCAGCGGTATCACAAAATTGGGCAAGGAGAGATAGCTCTTTTCCGAACCACCTGAATAAAATTCAGATATATAAATAGATTTTAATATGAAGAGTCAAATCAAAAATTCAAAGCTATAATCATCGGAACACTTGACTTGTTAAGGGTTGTTAGTGTTTCAAGACAAGAGGTCAGAACAAGGTCTGTAAAATGCATCGTGAAAGATTTTACTATGAAGGCTTTTGAAGCCTTCGGCAGGTATAGCTTATTTATCATTATAATTCTACTAATATATAGACCTTAATAAGAGAATGATAAACGAATTATTTAGCAATGCTAGTTATATTTTCTATCTTTACTACCCAATTGGTCACGATTGACAAACAGCAATAGAAAGAGTAGCATAGATTATATTTTATCAATAATAAGAAATCGCACATATCCAGGACACAATTCAACTTAATAATAGAATTTTTAGTAAGATTTTATCTAATCAAGCTTTGAATTTTAGCCAGAGCATAATAATATTTAAAAGGTTGGCCCAATAATACCGTAGCATAAATCTAAATTGCTTGTGCTAATGACCCATCTAAGATAACCTTCAGGGATACCTATTAAAAAGGTAAGGATTATTTGTTAATATTTATGACTCATTTATAGTTTTAAATAAAATTCTTTATTGGATGTGATGTACACAGCTTATTTAACTTTTAGTTAAATATAAATCAATATTAAACTTCTCAAGAATTATATAGTAAAGCATGATTTGTATCACCATTTTTATGGACCTCTAGATAATTTATAGCCATAAACTCAGTCGATTTGAGATAATTGCATTATTTTGCTTGGAATACGAGGGGTAAAACCCGGCTTGCAATGAGTTAAAAAGAGGGAGATGCATAAAACTTTCGAAACTATAAAAAATGCAGTTTGAGCCGTAGTGAGTCTCCTGATAGTAGATAAAACTTTCCTATAAGCCACTAAACATCTATGCCGCCTGGGAATAAGAGTGGCCGATAATGAATATCTGAGGCAAAAAATAACTAGGATTAAATCCAATTCTGACTTTTACTTCATTTTATACAGAGGATGATTAGTTTTAAAGAAAACAAGATTCACGTATACATAATATTAGATTATGGTGAGCGGGAATCTTTAACTTGGAAGGTAATCGGAGCAATCATACTGCCAAGATGTAACTTCTTGTTTTACAAAGCGTATGAAAAAAATAAATCACAGTTATAAAGTAACAAAACTATTACGTTTATGTTAGTATCAATTACGATATGAATTCAGCCTTGATAGTATTCACACTCATTGTAAAAAGCTAAATTCGGCAATGTTAAATCTTTTAAAAATAAAGATGCGATAGATTAGGCGGGAAACAATTTCTATTCATTATTCTGCAGGCGATAAACTAATGTAATCATTTTTAATCCGTGATATATGTGGTAATGCTATGTTATGCGTGCATAAATAATAGTGCATTAAAAACCATAGTAATTTCAATGCCATTATTCATTCTATTATTAAAAAATTGTTAATTAATATAAGTGATATGATGCGAATAGTTTCGAAATTATACTCACTTCTAAAACACCTATTATACGAGATGCTATAAAATTAGAAGTATTTGCGTAGACATAACTTTTAATGGAATAAGAGTAGACCAGATTTATTTAAAATGTTATGGTAAATTGCAATTATGGAAACGTGAGAGCTTCGACGGCTTTATCTTCGGAATAAGTTTAGCTTCCTTACTAAAAAGAAAAAAAGGAGCCAGTGCCTTTCATAAATTTGCAAAGCTATATTCTTTAGGACAAAAAACTTATTTTCATCTGACAAGCTTTATCCAGCGCGATTTTCTTTTCTTTCCATTAGCAAATCTACATTTCTAGGAGATTCTATAAATACTCGATAAAAGTATGCAAACAATGAAACTGCACTCATAAAGTGCATTAACATTTTTTGACTCATTTACTTTTAGTTTTTCCACTTCATAAGGTATCATACACAAAAACATATCTTCATTAAGTAAAATTAACTTAATATTTTACTTATCTCGAATTCAGGATAGCGTATTTTTTACACTCGTCGAATGTAAAAATGAACTATATATTGGCATATTAAGACCAATTTGAATTTAATGGATATTGCACTGCTCCTCTAAATTTAATACCATTAAGGATATTGGCCGAAGAAAAAAGTAACCCTCTTTTGAATAATTTTATAAGCTGATCTAAATAATTGTAAATGAAAAGTTAGATATAATAGATGCAGCGTCGGACAGGCTTTTATTATCTATTCCTTTTATCTAATCTAAACTTTATCCGATTTTCATATAATTCACATTAAAAAGGTAAATTTTCATTTAATCTCAAGTCCACACTTTAAATCACCTCCTTGTTTGCAAGTAGTATTGTAGCTTTTCGCATTTTAGCATCTTTCTTCTCGCAAAGTATATTCTTTTGGCAGATACCATAGTCTTTATCCTTACGTTTGGCACATGCAAAAAAACTGAGCCGAGACTTTATCGTTCAATCAGAAGGCTTTCTTAATTAAACTCGGAATTAATATAGAGATAATTTATATCTTGGACGGCAGGTATAAGTTACTAAAATTTGTTATCCTCGTTAGAAAACTTTCGAGTACGATTTTAACTAAATACCTCGTTATTTAGATCTTCATCTAACAAAAATACTGCGTTTATCAGGCGTCAGACTCAAAGCATGGCCCAACTACCTTGTAATCGAATTCCCATTTATAGATTATTCCATTGGTACTAAATACACGTAGTAGAATATATCCTGACCAACTTAAAAAAAGAGAAACACTTTCCTGTTCCGCTAATGCAAACCACCATAAAATCTACATACAGCATATCCAAGCGACATCTCCAAAAATGCAATGCTGTATTTAAGTGTAAAGCCAACGCTAGTTTACTCCTGAAACACGTATTCTCACAAATAATTCATCACGTCCTGAACATCGTCCTCAGATTCCTCGAAAACATCTTGAAGTCTTACTACTTAAAACACCGATCTAATGAAAAATCATCATATGAGCAGCTATTGTCCATTCTTTATTTACCATCGCCTTTGAATTAAGATGACGTCAAGTATATATTAGTCTTCCAACGCTGGAGATGTCTAACTGTACTTACATATTACAGTTAAACTATCCTTATTCTTCTCTTTATATTTTGGTCAATACAGGTGGTACAGCGTAGGCAATGAAGTCCGTTCATATCATACTTGATTTCAATTTATCTTCATTTATACATAAACTAAAAAGACTCTAACATCTTTTAAAGAAGGTATTCCTAAAGCTTAAATGATAAAAGGATAAAGTTCAAAATGTAAGTTAACTGTGCAACAGGGTTTAACCTAGGCTAAATGCCTTTCGTTGCATATAAAGTATGTTTACTTATCCTAAATATTTTGCTATACATGTGTTATTGCTAATATCCATTGGTTAATATTCATTAATTGTTATCATTGAATTCATATATATCAAAATACACCTCTTCATTTTCAATAATATATAATGCAACTATTTTCAGGTAACAAATTTAAACGCTAATCCATAATCTAATGTGATCAAAATTTGACACTGCAAAATCGGACTCATATTCAAAGTTAGTCCTATAATCTCAAAGGAATAAAAATGGTTCATACCCTACCTTTTCAAAATTTATAAATGCTTTAAAAGATATATTTAATAATAAATTCACATAATTCAGAAAATACTAGCGAATAAGCTCACCACATTTAAAAATATCTAAGAGTGAATTTTAAATAATTAAAAGCACAGGCACAAGTTCTAATCTTGGATGTCAAGGTCAAATTACATGTCATTAAATTTGTTGAGATAGTTTTTCTCTATATAGAAGCTCTTTGAACTAATTTTCTTCCTATGAGTATTTCTACACAGAGATGTCAAATGTAAGTATCCCATAAATTTGGCCAGAATAGTTTTCTATGTTATGTAACATACCTTCTCTTAAAAATGCTAGCGACGAAGATGCAAGCAAATAGTCTGCTAAAGTGGCCAGTCGACTGTGTGGCAATAAAAGTTCAAATAAGTTCAACAGATGAGTATGCACTAAGGTACATGTTTTTGAAAGCCTCCCTGTAAACCTATCGAAATGACAGCAACCAAATAACTCGAAGGTGTATGAAGGAAAACAATATAAGCGACTTACTTTAAAATCTGCCACGATCTTCTTTCCAACGGTGTCCAGCGCATCTTTCGAATATGGATCAAGTTCAAAAAAATAATGATCTGGTTTGTCCAAATCATTGTTTTGATCAATTCTTTTTGTGTTCAATAGAGCAGACTCGAGATAACAGGCTATACTTAGACCGAAAGAATCATTACGAGTTTCACTGCCATCATGTATGTACATCATTCTTGCATGGGCTATGACATCTAGTGTGAACTGCATACTAGGCTGAACGATTTTGCCGATAGCAATTAAACTGTCCATAGAGTCGTAATCATCAACGTCAAGGCTATCATACCTGGTTACTTTGCTATTCTTGGGATTTGTAGCCCTTGTATTGGGCAAAAGAATAAGTCTTCCGTGTCTGGGACCTCGCGTAATAGTGATTAGAAATCGACGTCCTTGTATTTCTCTTGATTCCAACTGCAAATATTTATTTATCCAGGCTTTCTTAGTTTCATAATTTCTGTAATCTTCACAATACCGATGTTGGACCCAGATTTTGTCTGATCCAAGACGAAATCGGCCCCCTTCTATCACTTTGGTGCCCCGGTTAAGCAATTCAGGTGTGAAATTTATTAGCGCTATTTCTGATGAGCCTGGGAGTAGACGACGACTTTCTATGCGAAAGGTGGCTGGACGTGTAAACCGAGCACCGAGAACATGTAGTCTGAACTGGAATTCGTCTTCTAATGCAACATAGCCAAAATGCTGTTTTATGTTTAGTTGTTTATCAATTTTAGCATGATTTGACCATTCGTCAAAGATACGCCGTAAAACATAAAAAAGTCGGCCCTGGCTTAAGTCAGCTTGTGTAAATTGGGATCCAACATGTAGATATACTCTGGATCTAACGCTTGGCTCTTTATAGTTAGATTTATGGAGTCGATCATTGAGCACGAAAAGGTGACCATGCCTAGGGGCAGTTATCAGTGTGAAGAATATCCCAGACTCTGGTTCTTCAGGATGGACTTTAGCGCTCAGATGAGCAATGGTTATTCGCCTGACAGTACTTCCCCAGTCTTCTAATGCATTAGCTTTAGCTTTTGCATTAATAACTTTATTAATCACGCTTGTATTTCTGGTTGAATTGGCAGCGGATCCCATATCCTCTGGGGTCTCTAAAATTGAAATCAGAGTAAGTTTCAGGAGTTGATTGCGCCATAAGTCTATTTGTATGCGATAAAAGCGGATCGGAAGAACAAATTCAAATATTTGACTATTAAGTCTTTCACAGGAAAGAATAACATCATCTTTGAACTCAACCATAGTCTGGTTATATGTATCATCAGGTTGGCGTACTGTGCTGTTATAGCGGACATGACCTCTTATCACTTGAGCTCCAGTAAAACTTGATGCATGATGCCAAGCACCAGTCTCTTCACCTGTCGATATTTCGGCCAGTTTCCGAGTTCCTGCTTCATTTAATTGGTCCATTATACTAGTATTGAATTCTTGATCATATATAGCTGTTATATCTTTACTTGAGTCATTATTCCATGATCTAGAATGCAGACTGCTAGGAGCAAAGATCTCAACGATGCCAAAATGGATTTCGAGAACTGTAAATTGCTGTAGTCTAAATGCTTCCATATCCGTAAAGACCCGCTGAGCAAAAGGACTTTCTTTCATAATAATCTGCATATTCATAGTTTCCGTAGAGTTTTCGGACATAAAATTTGCAAGTGAAAGGGTTATTGAAGAAGCAGGTTTGACCCATACCTCGGCCAAGTTTATCATGCCCATTTTTGATCGTGAGTTTATGTCCTTATGAAGTATATGAGAAACCCATCGTTTTGTGCGTGGAAAACTGAGGGTTTTAAACAAAATATATGTTTAATTAAAGGTGTGAATTAGAAAAAACAGCAAAATTCTCATCTTGCCTATTGTCCATTTTTCAGGTCAAGGTTGTTCAAAATATTAAATATTCACTAAATTTTTCATACTTTCAGTTGTTAAAAAGAAGGTTAAAATGTGCAAAAAAATAATTTTACATGCTTTGAATAAGATAATGAAACTCATAGAATTTGTATTGATTGTAGTATATATAGGTATCAAAAATTGGTCCAAATTGGTACCAATTAGAAACTTAACCAATAAAGTGACCAGCTATGTGTGAACTTTATATGAATTAATACCATTCAGAGATGAATGAATTCGATGCTTTTGACTGAATTTAAACAATATCTTAATCAATAGTGATATGGCAAGATAAAGCAAATAAATAATTTGACCCTTTTTCCAGAAATGATTTGATATTTAAAATCCGTTCAAGGTAAAAAAATTTAAAATTTAACATTTCTTCATCTAATAGTTAAACTCAAATTAGTATAAAAATATAAATATTTAGGGGATCGCTTCTCTCCTCAATACCCAAGGACGTCTGAAACTTGTCATCGACGCAGGAATCGTTTAGGTGCCTACGTCTATAATCAAATTTTTAGACAATTTTAAAATAAGAGACTAAAATTACAGTAATGATAACGTTTAAGTAAAAATAATTGTTCAAAAATAATAAGTGCGATTATGCTAACTTTGAAGGGTGCTTTCAATGGATAACATATTACAATCTATGAGTTGCGTTCACCCTATTTCGTTTAAGGTGATGAAGGACTGTTAGTTGAATTTTCCCACAATAACATGACTTGAGCTGACATTTCCATCGAATTTCATAACCTCGCTTTCTAGAAAGGTATTCTCATCCCGGCTGGAGTGGACTGCAATTTAGACCTTACATAGAGACCTACTACGCCACTTTGCCATGAGAGTTTTTCATCATCTTAAACAAAAAGGGTGAGCAAAACTCATATATATAGGATTTACTGTTAGTCCCTAAAGCCTTACGAAAATGTAAGTTTGCTTCATCGACAATCCCAAAACAGAATGTGGCAGACCCAAGGGCACTCGTGGCAATTTGGCGTAGGGGTTAACATGTAAAGCTTACACGCTGTACTGTCATGGTTGGACTCCAGCTTGCGGTATTGCTAAAATCTATGCGAGATCGAAACTGCAGCCTACTCTAGCAGAAATAAGAACACCTATAGCGAAAGCAATGCTATGTAAAATTCAATGTAAACGTCAGCTCTACTCATATTATTGTTGAAAAATTCGACTAAGAGTCTTTCATCACATTAAACGAAATAGGGTGAACACAACTCACATATCGGATTTGCTGATATTCTTGAAAGCCTATTCACGAAAAAATGCTATTAATTTTATTCAACCTGGATTACTAAAATAAGTGAAATAAGAAGTTTGGGATTTTAAATTAAGGTTATCTGAAATTAAATGAGTTTTAATGATGAAAAATATAAATTCAGTTTATTATATTGTATGCAGGTGGCTGGCTTCAGCCCTAGTCACTTTCTTATAGACCTAACCTTTGGATCTTAATGAGGAGACTTCCCATCAAAGGGTAAGAGTTTAGAGTCTAT